GGAAGCTTTTAATGTTTGATGTATTACAGTATTTTAATATTTTTTGGAAGCCGCCCAGAGTGGCTGGGGAAGCCCAGCCAGATGGGCGGGGTATAAATAATAAATTATTATTATTATTATTATTATTATTATTATTATTATTATTATTATTACACCCAAAACAGCCCCGTGAGGAGTCGACATGAAACGCTGACTGGCAGGCAGAGGGAGGGAGACTTGAATGGAACATCATGGGAAGGGATTGGCTGGTTGAAGACAAGCACTTGGCGCTGAAACATTTTGATGCAATTTGGATTATCTCTATGATGGCTCTGTTGGGGAGGATTGGTTCCCTTTCATGGCTGGTGTACGAGCTTCTCAGGCATATTTTAAGGACCACCTGAGGCTCAGTCTCTGAGATAATCCAGATGAGTGTTGCTTGTTGTCCCGTGTGTTACAGCAGACTGACTGGCCTCTGCTGCTAGAAGCTGGGCACCTAGTGTTCCTGGTCCGATGTTGTGGAACACAATTCCAGCAAAGATGCAGCAATAATAACACAGTGGTACCTCGGGTTACATACGCTTCAGGTTACATATGCTTCAGGTTACAGACTCCGTTAACCCAGAAATAGTGCTTCAGATTAAGAACTTTGCTTCAGGATGAGAGCAGAAATTGTGCTCCGGCAGCACAGCGGCAGCGGGAGGCCCCATTAGCTAAAGTGGTGCTTCAGGTTAAGAACAGTTTCAGGCTAAGAACGGACCTCCAGAACGAATTAAGTACTTAACCCAAGGTACCACTGTAATAATAATAATAATAATAATAATAATAATAATAATAATAATAATTTATTTGTACCCCGCCCATCTGGCTGGGTTTCCCCAGCCACTCTGGGGGGCTTCCAACAAAGATTAAAAATACAAATTCTAAATGTCAAATTCTAAATGTCAGGTAGTTGTCTTTGACATCTGATGGGAGGGCGTTCCACAGGGCGGGTGCACTACCAAGAAGGCCTTCTGCCTAGTTCCCTGTAGCATCCTCATTTTTGCTCACTGGGGCAATACAATTTGAGAATATTGCACCAATCCTGGCCTGACTGCACCAGCTGCCGATTCGTTCCTGGGCCCAATTGAAAGTGCTGGTTTTGACCTATAAAGCCTTAGACAGCTCAGGACCGCAATACCTCAAGCACCGCCTCTCTCCACATGAGACCTGGACCCTGAGATCATCCTCCAAGGCCCTTCTTCCTCTGCCTCCTCCTATCTATGTGGGGTTTATTGTCTGCCTGTCTGTTTGTAAGTCACTTTGAGTTAAAAGGTAAATGTAAAGGGACCCCTGACCGTTAGGTCCAGTCGTGGCCGACTCTGGGGTTGTGGCGCTCATCTTGCTTTACTGGCCGAGGGAGCTGGCGTACAGCTTCTGGGTCATGTGGCCAGCATGACTAAGCCACTTCTAGCGAACCAGAGCAGTGCACGGAAACGCCGTTTACCTTCCTGCCGGAGCGGTACCTATTTATCTACTTGCACTTTCACGTGCTTTGGAACTGCTAGGGACATTAAAAAGCAGAGACATCACTTTGTCAACAAAGGTCCGTATAGTTAAAGCCATGGTTTTCCCAGTAGTGATGTATGGAAGTGAGAGCTGGACCATAAAGAAGGCTGATCGCCAAAGAATTGATGCTTTTGAATTATGGTGTTGGAGGAGACTCTTGAGAGTCCCATGGACTGCAAGAAGATCAACTGTATCCATTCTTAAGGAAATCAGGCCTGAATGCTCACTGGAAGGACAGATCCTGAAGCTGAGGCTCCAATACTTTGGCCATCTCATGAGAAGAGAAGACTCCCTGGAAAAGACCCTGATGTTGGGAAAGATGGAGGGCACAAGGAGAAGGGGACGACAGAGGACGAGATGGTTGGACAGTGTTCTCGAAGCTACAAACATGAGTCTGACCAAACTCCGGGAGGCAGTGGAAGACAGGAGTGCCTGGCGTGCTCTGGTCCATGGGGTCACGAAGAGTCGGACACGACTAAACGACTAAACAACAACAGGTTGGCAGGAGCAGGGACCGAGCAATGGGAGCTCACCCCGTCGCGGGGATTCGAACCACTGACCTTTTGATCAGCAAGTCCTAGGCTCTGTGGTTTAACCCACAGCGCCACCCGCGTCCCTTTGAGTTACCTTGGGCAAAATAAAGCAATTAATTTAATCAGTGCTTTTTTTCTTTTTTTTAAAAAAAATGTTTAGGAGTACTCTCATTTTGACTCGAGAAAACCACCATTTTGTAGTTCAAATCGGGGAAGATAAATACAGTCAATGGACAAAAGTACAAAGAACATGCATTGCCTCATATTACACAGCTTGACAGCTCGCAGTGATTTTCCTACTCATATTGAAATACTGCCCCTCAATGAGGCCAAACTTTCATCAGCAAAACACCACACATCCACATTCCACACTGCTTAACATATTAAACGGTTGCTTCCACCTGAGACTCAGGAAACACCGTGACAGGAAATGAGGACGCCATCGGGGGTAGCGACTGAACTGACGATTCACTGTGCTAGCGAAGAAACTAAAAATATTTAACATTTTAGATTCACAAAATGTTTAGGGGTATGCGTACCCCTGTGTCCCCCCAGAAAAAAGCACTGAAATAATAATAATAATAATAATAATAATAATAATAATAATAATAATAATATAACAACAACAACAACAACAACAACAACAACAACAACAGACTGTCAGACACTCCTTGAAGTATGTCTTTCTATGTCCACAGGCCTATGCAGCTATATAAATTGATGAGCCAATACGGATGGAATAATCTATCAATTTCAGTCTCTCTCTCAGGTTGCTGGGAAGAGAGGCAACTCTGGAAATTATAGCTCTGTGAAAGGAATGGAGGGGGCCTCCTATCAACTCTCAGCACCCTTAACAAATGACAGCTTCCAGGATACTTTAGGGGAAGCCATGACTGGTTAAGGTGTCACATCAGTTTGCAAATTCTTTTTTAAAAATACCATGAAAATTCACCAGCATTGTAATGCAAATTTTGCCTAATTTGCATGGTTGTTTTTTCCCCAAGCCACCCCCCTAACATGATGCATTTTCATACGTTCTTTTAATAAAAGTATGCATTTTCCAACATGCAAACTTTACCCAGCGCATACATTTTCATACCCACAACGTGGTTGAAGAACTACGTTGCAAAATTCAGGGCAGTTCAGATTTGAGTTTCGCTTTGTGTTTTACTTCAGGAAGTGCAAACGAGACCAGTTGGCCTTTGAATGCAAACTGAATCAGATTTTGCTTCTATCCCTATTTGACCGGTCACTTTTATGATTATTTGTATTATATTTCATGGTGGTTGCTTCGTTTGCATTGCTATGATTGTTTATTAAATTTATTCGCTGCTTTTTTTTGCCACGGCAATTTTACACTAACATTTATATCCCACCTTTCCTACTCACGGGTGGCTTACATACCATATTTTTCCATATATAAGATCCCTCCGTGTATAAGTTGATCCCTATCTTTTTTAACCCAAATAAAGAAATCAATAATTATTGATTTGTTGAGGGTTTTTAAAAAGCTTTTTGGGGGGAGGTCGCCCACTGCCAATCTCTCACCTGCCTGCCCACTTGCCACCACTGATCACCTTCCTCTCTTGCATGCACAATCTGTGTATAAGATGACCCCCATTTTTTGCCTAACAAATTTAAGCAAAAAACATCGTCTTATACATGGAAAAATAAGGCAGTCCTCCTCCTCCCTGTTTTGACCTTGCAATAACCTGATGAAGTAGTTTAAGTTGAGTAAAAACTATAAATTATTAAGCTACCACTTGTCACCTGCTGCTATACTTCAAATCCTGCCTAAGTTTTAAGACAACCATGATATTTCTTTTTCAAATATTCCACAACAAACTAATCAATTTGAATTGGATTTCAAATAAATGTGCAATGAATCAGGGGGTTGCGCAAACCACTATTCTGAACAATGCTTTTAAAAGTAAAGGTAAAGGACCCCTGGACGGTTAAGTCCAGTCAAAGGCGACTATGGGATTGCGGCGCTCATCTCGCTTTCAGGCCGAGAGAGACGGCGTTTGTCTGCAGACAACTTTCCTTCCGGGTCATGTGGCCAGCAGGATTAAACCGCTTCTGGAGCAACGGGACACCATGACGGAAACCAGAGCGCATGGAAACGCTGTTTATCTTCCCGCCGCAGTGGTACCTATTTATCTACTCGCACTGGTGTGCTTTCGAACTGCTAGGTTGGCAGGAGCCGGGACAGAGCAACGGGAGCTCACTCCGTCGCAGGGATTCGAACTGCCGACCTTCCGATCGGCAAGCCCATGAGGCTCAGTGGTTTAGACCACAGCGCCACCCACGCCCCTGCTTTTAGAGGGGGGCGCTGGAGATGAGTTTATGGAATCCATAAGGCGTGGCAGCAAAAAAATTGGGAGCCACGGATGTACATTCTTAGATCCTTAATGTTTGGCGATCACTGGGACGCAGCACGAGATGAGGGAAAGCGGGCGAGTTTGATAAACTGGAGGGGGCGGGGAGGGAAGAGAAGAGTCACGTAAACTGGCCTCCTGTCATACCAATTGCTCACCCGCCGCACCGTGACTAAAAAATTAGGAAATGGGTGGCGCTGAAGTTCCACGCTGGCAGGATGCCAGGCGGCGCAGCGAGATGCCTTGCGCCACCACCGCCTCCTGGTATCTCCCGAAGGTGTCTCCAACACACGCCTTCTTGAGATATAAAACCGTGGCAGGAGAGGCAGTTCTATCCAGCACAGCTGATCCCTTCGAGCAGGTAAGAAGGACTCTCTCCTTTGGGACTCCTCCGGGGCTCCCATCTCAAAACAGAAGGGGTGCAAGGGGTGTTTGCTGTTTGGGATAGTAGTGGTAATGGGCTTTCCCCTTCCTCCGGACTCCCACCCCTTCCCCGTGAACTCCAATCCTTTTCTCGCTCAGCGGTGCGCCTCGTCGCTCCGGACATGTTCAGGCAGCGCTCAAGAATTTGCCTTCCCAAACACGCTCAGACTAGGGTGGGGGAGTGAGGGAAATAGAAGAGGCAGGATCTGATGGAAAGCTAAAAGTCTCCGTTCTCCCTTCTGTTGGCCGCACGTAGGAAAAACAGCCCTTTGTTGGATTTCTAAGAGCCTCTTTGCGGGATCTACCCAGCGGATCTCAAGGAACCGACTTGCCACAACTCGCTCCGGAGAAGGGGATTTTTGCCGAACCGAACGAACCGAACCGAATCAACGATGGGCTTTGGGTGCTGCAAGAAGAGAAAGGTCAATTGGAATGGGGAAATGGGACTGTCTTTTGGTTTTCTGGGGAAGGGAGAGGAAAATTGTGGATTCATTCTGTGTTGGAAGGGGGGATGCGCGTAGGGTTTTTTGGGTGTGTGGAAAGGATGCCCTCTCGGATCATCTGTGGATCTTAAACTCAGCAAAGCTTCTGGGAGAAACAGAGAACCCCATGTCATAGGGAGCCGGATTGGGTTGGCTAAAATACAGGGGTCAGTTTCCTCCATTAATGTTCCAGGGATCATAGGAAGCTATCATATGCTGTGCCAGACCATTGCTCCATCTACTTCAATGTGGCCTGCACTGACTGGCAGCAGCTCTCCTGCATACAGAGTGTGTACTTTGTAACTTGGCTACATATCTTGCCCATAGCTGTCAAGTGTCCCTTATTTGGCGGGACAGTCCCTTATCCCAGCGCCATGCCCCGCTGCTGTCCCTTATTGATGAGGCTTCATTTGGCTGCTGGCTGGGCTTTCTGCCTTTGGCTCAGAGGGGCTCAGAAGTTGAACATACCTGTGCCCGGGAAATCCCTTATTTTGGCTGCGGATCCCTTATTTTCAAGGCTGCTGGTCCCTTATTTTCAAATCTGTAAGTTGACAGCTATGATCTTGCCCCATAGCTAAAGTCCTCATGATTCTGGAGAAGGGGTTGGTGTGGTTAGGAACACTCTGCCACCGAGACCCAGTCCTTCCCCAGGAGAGAGGGAGAGATCCTCTTGCGCAACCAACTCCCTCTAAGGAAATTTCAGGATCTCCTCGGCCAAACCAGTTCTTTCTAGTTGTGTGAGACGCTGACTTTCTGGGGCCTAGAATAGACTTGTCTACCACCTTGGCAAAGCTCTAATCTCCTCTGGAACGGTCCTCCTCGTGGGGCACGTTGAAATGTTTTAAGGAAAAATGTCCTAATGAGAGGAGATTGGTAGGTGGGGTGGGGTGTTTTTTGGGGGTGGGGAAATATCTTGGCAATATTTTTATTAGAAGCGGAGATGGTTGCCAAGTCTAGTGCTGAGTCAGAGTTCATTGTCATCGCCTAGGATGCTGTTGGCTGGGAATGAGGAGAGAAGGTGGAAAAATTCATAGCTACATAGAGTTGGAAGGGACCCCGGGGTCATCTAGTCCAACCCCCGGAAATGCAGGAGTCTTTTGCCCAACGTGGGGCTCATACCCACGACCCTGACATAAAGAGTCTCATGCTCTGCCAACTGAGAATGGGCCATGGTTTGTGAAAGGGGCAACCAGGTGGCAAAATTTGCAGACAGGGAACGCGTAAGCCAGCCTTCTCCCAAGCTGGTGCCCTCCGGGTGTTGCTGGACTACAACTCCCATCGTTATCTCTGACCGTTGGGCCATCCTGGCTGGGACTGATGGAGGTTGTAGTCCAACAAACAGCTGTAGGTCAACAGTCTCACCCATCCTGCGTTATACCTCTGCAAGTGCATTTAATATGTGGTCCCTGATTGGTTGGGACATGTGTATACAGCAGGGGTGGGAAAACCTGTGGCTCTCCAAATATTACTGGACTACAGTTCCAATCACCCCTGACTGTTGGCCATGTTGGCTGGGTGTGATGAGAATTGGGACCCAACAACATCTGGAGAATCACAGATTCCCTGTCCCTGAACTAAATCGTCATTTGTCTTCCTTCTAATGCAGGGAAGGGAAATCCCTCCAGATGTTGTTGGACTGCAACTCCCATTATCCCTGGTCCTTGACCAGTGATGATCTGGGGCTGATGGGAGTTGTAGTCCAACAACATAGGGGCTCCTCATCCCTGCTCTACACCTCTGTAAGTGCATTTGATATGTGATCCCTGATTGGCTGGGACATTTGTCTAGGAAAGGGGCAGGCAGGCAGGCTTGTGGCCCTCCAAATGTTTGTGGACTACAACTCCCATCAGCCCTGGCCGTTGTCCCATTTGGCTGGGGCTGATGGGAATTGCAGTCCTCAAACATCTGGAGGTCACCAGATTGGGGAAGGTTGGTGTAAACTCCGTATGTGCGTGTGCATGAAGGTGAAACTGCAGCAGAAGACGCAGATTAGAAAAACAACCAAGGAGGTACAGATCGCCTCCTGTTCCAGCAGCCCTGAATTTGAATAGCACATTGGGTCCAGAATGACATGTCAGCAGGCTTCTGTCATGGAGACCAGATCCCTCAGCTGATTTTAAATATATATTCTGGATCAACTGGCTTTGCGGTCGGAGGAAAGACGTTCATCCAGGGAAACGCCCGAAAGCTCTGGCTTCTCTCGGCATTCAAACAGGTTTTCCCTGATGATTTTTAATATATATATTTTTAAAATATATATTCAGCACAGTGTAGAAGGAAGATTTCATATGGATTTTCAGGATTCAAAATGGGATCTCATTTCATTTCATTAAAAAAGATACTGGCACAGCACAGTCCTATACAGGTCTACTCGGAAGTCGCTTCCAATGACTTTGGTGGGACTCAGTCCCCAAGTAAGGGTGGCAGTCGCAGGGAGCAAGAACCTTTTGTTATTTATGGGCTGTTGTCCTGGGCACACTTACTCAAGAGTAAGACCTATTGGACTGGGAATGCTCCTTGCCTGAAACCACTGGTGGTCAGCGCAGGCAATATCAGACAAGATCAGTGCTTCCCAAACTTGGGTCTCCAACTTGGACTACAATCCCCATCATCCCTGACCGCTGGTCCTGCTAGCTAGGGATGATGGGAGTTGTAGTCCAAAAACAGTTTGGAGAACACTGATCTAGATGGACCATGAGGTTTGACTCAATACAGAACAGCTCCCTGCACTCCTGTCTTAATCAGGGCCTTCTTCCAAACAATGAGGACTAGGGCCTTACTTTATTTATAGGGCAAAATAGCAGCACATCTGCTTTCCATGCCAAAGGTCTGGGGCTCAGTCCCTGGCACCCCCAGTTAAAAGTATATCGGACAGCAGGGGAGGGCAATAGCTCAAGGGTAGAGAGTCTGCTTTGAATGCCGAAGGTTGCAGGTTCGATTCCCGGCAATTCCGGGTAGGGCTGGGAGAGGCCCCTGCCTGCAATCCTAGAGAGCAGCAGCTGCCAGTCCGTGTAAACAACACTGAGCTACATGGACCAGAGGTCTGACTCAGTAGAAGGCAATTTCCTGTGTAATAATTAGGAAAGGCGGGAGGGGGGTGTTAAGGTGAGAGGCCACAAACTCTCTCTCAGGCTGGGTCTTGGCAGGCCTGGTGGTATGGCGCTCTTATGGCTGAAAACTGAGGGTCAGGATATGTCCCTAGACACCATGGTGCAAAAAGAGGCCCTGGGTCTTTCCTACTCCACTGTTCATCCTGTTTGCAGTGCACATGACCAGATGGATCAGTTGGCTTTGGAGATTTTTTGTGTGCATCAAATAATCGTGGACAAATCATTTCTGTTTCCGTTTCTCTCTGTTCCTCATTTTCCCAGTCTGAAATTCAGCTCTCCGCATTTCCAGATCAGCTTGCAGGGTTTTTCCTTTTTTTAAAGTCCTCACAAAAATTCGTCAGCACCTCAGTGTGAATTTCTCTTACTATACAATAGTTTTTGAATGCAATTTCGCTGCGACCGACACATTTCTGCAAAGTCTCCAATATGAGACTTTTCTGGACACGATTTTTACCAATACCTGTGTTTTTGTACACCTTTACTTGGCCAGAGAAATGCATTGCAAAATTCAGAACAGTGCAAAATTAGGAGGACGGCTGTCTTTCATGCTTGTATTTTGTTTCGTAATGCATCAGTTTGATCAATTTGCCTTTAAATGTGAACAGAATCAGATTTCTCATCCATCCTTTGAGGCTATCGCACGCCCACCTGACGCGCATCTGACACCCACAGTATCATATCAGAGTGCTGATACCCCTCCAAATGTCATTGGACTGCAATTCCCATCATCCATTCCCATTAGCCTTGCTGGCTGGGGCTTATGGGAGTTGGAGTGCAACTTTGGGGGAAGTACCCTTTGGGAATCTCGGTCCTCAGCACTGACTCTCCATGCCCCTTTGACTTCTTCTGCTTTAAAGAGTCATGTCCCTCCTCCCAATGAATTCTGGGAGATGTAGTTTGTGAAATAGGATGACAGTTGTTGGAATCCCGCACAGAACTACAATTCCCAGAGTTCCTTGGGAAGAGGGATTGGTTGTTAAGCCACTCCTGGAATTGTTGCTCTGAGGGGGGACTAGGAGGTTCTCCGAACAACTCTCAGCAGCACCCTTAACAAACTACAACTCCCAGGATTCCTTTTGGGGGAAGCCATGACTGTTTAAAGTGGGATCATGGTGCTTTAAATGTATGGCACAGCTGTGGCCTCTGTAAAAAACAACAACAACCAGGTCTTAAAATGATTTGGAATATGTCCAGCGGTTGAAGAAAGACTCTGGATATCTCCTGAAGTTTCAGAAGATTTGGGGTGGATTTGACTTCAGTTTTCATTCATTCTAATGCAGGCAGAATGTGAGTCAGGAAATGAATGAGTTTCAACACAGGAAACGGTAAACAAGGATATGATTCGTTCTGGACTGATATGTTTGTGGACACGGGACACATCTTATCTGGTCTAGCACAGAAGAGGATGGGTGTAGTGGTTTCCTCTGTAATGGAGCTGGGCTGTTTGGTGCGAATGGAATGGATAATCATCTCCAGATTGCTCACCAGAGATGGTATGCAATCTTGGGAGTCTTAATGGAGTTTCGGGGAGGGTGTAATTGCGTAGGAGGGAGTCGGGCCGGTCTGACTGCCTTCTTTTGAGATCACAGACTTGTGCTGATGCTTTGCGTCTCGCAATAACTCCACCCCTTGTCGTTCTCCTTCCCCAGAACTCTCAAGAGCTCACCGATGTGGAGAGGGCCATCGAAATCGTCATCAACAACTTCCACTGCTACGCCGTCAAGGGCCGTAAAGAGTGCATCACCCCCAACGAGCTGAGGGACCTGGTGGGACAGAGGTTGCCACATTTAGCAGAGGTAAAGGGGGCGACCTAGAATCTAAGACAGGCGTCCGCCGGGGGTGGCAGAGTTCGTGTGTGTGTGTGTTTCTGCGTTATGTCGGGGAACAATTCCAAACCAAAGGGATGCAATTCCTCTCTTCAGCCTAGATCAGCTTCCCTCAACCTGGGGCCTGACACGTGTCATAGGGAGACTACAACTTCCACCAGCCCCTTCAGCTACAATGGCCAATGGCCAGGGATGATGGGAGTTGTAGTCCAACAATGTTCTTGGACGCCAGCTTCCATCAGACCTGGACAGCATGGCCAATTGTCAGGGGTGATGAGCGTTCAACAATGCCTGCAGGGCCTCAGTTTGGGGTGGGGGGAGCAGAGGCCTAGATCCTTGTTGTGAGACACTCAGCTGTGGAAGTAATGGTAGGTCAATGTGTCCACATTCCTCCGACGTTGCTTTGATTGCAGCCTTGTTTCTCTTGTTCCATACAAGTCGGGAAGGAGGAATCTGTGCTCTCCCATGTTATTGGACTTCAGTTCCCACAGTACCTGGCTGTTGGCCTTGCTGGCTGGGGCTGATGGGAGTTAGAGTCTAATAATAATAATAATAATAATAATAATAATAATAATAATACCCATCTGGCTGGGTTGCCCCATTCCAACAATGTATGGAAGACTTGCTGCAGATTCCCCATCCCTGACACAAACGAATGGAACAGAAACATCCATTGAATGGAGCAGGGAAAGGGAGAGGTGCAGTTTTTCCAAGGAGTAGCGGAAAGGAGAAAGGACCCCCCCCAAAAAAGGTGTATTTATCACTTGCCTAAAAAAGGGATGTGGGTAGCACTGTGGGTTAAATCACAAAGCCTAGGACTTGCTGATCAGAAGGTTGGCGGTTCGAATCCCCGCGATGGAGTGAGCTCCCATTGCTCGGTCCCTGCTCCTGCCCACCTAGCAGTTTGAAAGCATGTCAAAAGTGCAAGTAGATAAATAGGTACTGCTCCAGCGGGAAGGTAAACGGCGTTTCCGTGCGCTGCTCTGGTTCGCTAGAAGCAGCTTAGTCCTGCTGGCCACATGACCCGGAAGCTGTACGCCGGCTCCCTCAGCCAATAAAGCGAGATGAGCGCCGCAACCCCAGAGTCAGCCACGACTGGACCTAATGGTCAGGGGTCCCTTTACCTTTATCAATCAATCAATCAATCAATCAATCAATCAATCTTTATTATGGTCCAGAGACCCAACAAATCATTACAAATCAATACACAATTCATACAGCCTACCTCCAAGTTAACCAAGCATTTTGTTCAGAATTTAGGCCCTTTACCTTTACGTAAAAACAAAACAAGCAACTTGGTAGATTTCTAATGCAGGGCTAGAAAACCTCAGGTTCAGCCCTCCAGGCATCTCTCCAGGCCGTGCCCTCTTCTTGCCCCTGCTTGGCATCCTCCCTGAGTGTTTTTGCCTGGCTGGAATATGTCCTTGAATTCTGACCATGCCTCTTAGCTTGCCAGGATACGGGGGGGGGTGTGTGAGTACGGGCACAGAAACTGCCCTCCTGCACGGAGGTGCAATTATTGACCTTTGCTGCCCCACCCACTTTTCTCTCTGGGCCCCCCTAGTCCAACCCCCCAAGTCTGGAAAAAGAAACCGCAAACTATGAATCCAATTTCTGGTTTCCCTGCTGGGTTTTGACAGCTTCTTTCTCTTCTCCAAACAGAGCGTTGGCACGTTGGACGATAAGATTGAATGCCACGGCGATGGCGACGAGGCCAAACTGCAATTCGGCGAGTACTGGAGCGTCATGGGAGACGCAGCAAAGGGGTGCCGAGTCACAAAGAGTAAGAAGTAACGCACGCCTGGCAGGATCAGAACCACAAGGCCTCGGACCGTTTACACAGGAAGAACGAGAGACTGTCCGCCATGATGTCAATGTGTTGTCAATGCAGTGTTAATATTTTGGGGTGGTCTCCATCCCCTCCCCTTGCTCGGTTCTGGGATATCAAAGTCTAGAGCTTGATCGCCTTTAAGTAGGGAAACTTTCAGTTCCCAGCCCAGGTTCCCACCCTAACCACTCCAGTCCACTCTAGAGAATGGCTTTGTTGTAAGCTTTCCAGGTACACTGACGTTCTCGGTTCCTGACCGCTCAACTTGAGAACCTTCAAACGGAGGAGCTCTGGACCCTTAAGAGGTCATTTTAGCTCACTGTTCTGGATGCTTTCTCAAATTTCCTATTTTCTGGTTTTGATAATTCAGGCCGACCCCCCCATACTGTGGGGGAGGAAGGGAAAGGAGAATGTTAGCTGCTTTGAGACTCCTTCGGGTAGTGATAAAGCAGGATATCAAATCCAAACTCCTCCTCCTCCTCTTCTTCTTCTTCTGCATGCCTGTTTGTTTGAGATCTTCCAGATCTGATCCAGAACTCTATGGAGATTTACTTTTAAAATAAATTAGTAGCCCTTGCCTCTAGATTTGTTATGTTTCAGTTCTCTCACCACTGGATCCAGAATGTCCAGAGCACCCTGTTTCCCTCCTCTCTCTAGATCCGGAATCCAGAATACTATTTGCTCCAGACCTTGGAAATGTTATTATTATTTTTAAAAATAAACCTATACATTCAATCCAAAGTTTTGATCTCGGTGGTGGATTTCGTTCCCCGCTTGGCCAGTCCATCTTGGTTCGCCGGCTTCCATAGCGTTGATGATGCTTCTTCTTCCATTAGCTGTGTTTTCAAGCTCCTGGTCTCCTCCTTGGGTGTTATTTTAGTCTTCTAAATTCACAAAGCAAAGAGGCTATGGAGTTTGAATTCAATGGATTGGATCTGACTGTGCCAGATCAGGTGGGCGGAAGAAGGTGAGAAGCTATGGAGACTGGACCTAGGCAAGCACTCAACCCGAATTTACGACCACTGGAGAAATGCAAATCTTGGCCCAACCAACTACAACTGTGGCAACATGGGTTGTGATTGAACCAGCTTGGAGAGACCGGATTTATATAGGCTCTGCCCATAACCCACCAGTTCCTGCACTGGCTCCACCCCCTGATCTGCCAGAGTTCCAACGTGGCTCCGCCCCCTGGCCTCCAACATCAGGTCTAGCTGTGTTGAATGCAGTCCTTCAACTCAATACATTTGAAAGATTTGAGTGGACTTCCCTTCACCTCCTGATAAGCCACCGGGGGGTGAATTCTTGGAAGATCCAGTTCCCTCTTCCCAATACTTACTGTGGCCCTTCTGCAAAATTTACTGGGTGACTAAGGGAGAGGGCGCAAAGCTCAGGGCTAATGGCTTTCAATTTCCTTCCCTGGAAAGGGAAGCAGTGGCTAGCGGTTAGAGCAAGAGGCTAGGAGTTGGGGCCGTGTGTGATTCTTGGGTTGGAGAGAGAAGAGGTTGGGTAGCAAAGGGTGTTCTGGGGTCAGGGTTGATGTCTCCACTGGACAAGTCAAACAGGTCTGAGACCTAAACACTCGCCAAATGGGAACTGCCAGGAGATACTTTGAAGAAACCCTTCCCTGCAGCCAAATCTGGTATGCCGTGGTCATCATGAAGCCATCCACCGAGTGTCCCAAGTTCGGTCTGGATCCGTCCCATTCCTTTCCACCTCATCTGGCAAGAATTATCCTCGGTTTCCAAAGTCTGGGCTGGGCGGATGGCCAAACGTTTTGACCTCTTGTGTTGCTTGCCATATTATTATTTTTTTTTGTATAAATCCATGAAATAAAGAAATAAGAAAAGAAAGATTGCAAGAGGCTCGTTGTCTTTCCTTCATCACATCTCGTTTAAGGGACAGGATCTTTAAGGACGGATCCATGTCGTTGCTAGCTAGCCTGGGAGGATCCTGCCTTGCTGAAACAATTCTAGATCTCTACTCTAAGGGTAAAGGTAAAGGTAAAGGTACCCCTGACCATTAGGTCCAGTCGTGACCGACTCTGGGGTTGCGGCGCTCATCTCACTTTACTGGCCGAGGGAGCCAGCGTACAGCTTCCGGGTCATGTGGCCAGCATGACTAAGCCACTTCTGGTGAACCAGAGCAGCGCACGGAAACGTTGTTTACCTTCCCACCGGAGTGGTACCTATTTATCTACAGTACTTGCACTTGATGTGCTTTTGAACGAATTAAGTACTTAACCCGAGGTACCACTGTATCTATTTATATCATAAGATATATACACTGCTTTATTGTAAACAAACAAACAAACAAACAAACTCAAAGCCATTTCCGGGAAAAAGAATTAAAAAATGATCAATAAAACCTGTCAAGGATGCCAGGAAACAGGGGATTATGTTCAGATGTGGTGGGGGTGTAAATATATACTTTGGGGATGGGGGCAAAGGGTGTTTAAGGATATAACAGAAATCACTGGGTTAAAGCTGACTGAAAGTCCAGAGGTAGCATTATTATCAATTTACGATGGGGTGGAAGGTTCGCAGGCTATGAAGGACTTGCTCACAAATTTATTGACAGCTGCACAAATTATGATAGCTAGGAAGTGGAAGGGGCAAGCAGAGTATAAAATGGGAGAACAGTATAAAGAGGTGTTGGGATATAGCTCTTAATGATAAATTAACACGTGCCATTAAGGTAAGACGGGGAATACGCAGGAGAAAAGATTTTGAGGAGTTATGGAGGGTGTTTGTTGAATTTGTACTGTTAAAACGGGAAGGGGTCAAGCCATCACAAGAGGTGTTGAAATTTTAGGAGGCTGGATACTTACAACGGAATGGCGGGGTGCACATTTTTATTCTTATTCATTTATGATTATTACTTTGTCAAAATAAAATTTAAAAACAGTCAAAAACAACTATTTAAAACATTAAACAAATAAAATCCGTGATACACTAAAAAGAGATCGAAGCACACATCAGCGCCCTATGCGTGTGAGTAAGGTAAAGGTAAAGGGACCTCTGACCATTAGGTACCCCTGACCCCGTGACCGACTCTGGGGTGGTGACGCTTATCTCGCTTTACTGGCCAAGGGAACCGGCGTACAGCTTCCGGGTCATGTGGCCAGCAGGACTAAGCCACTTCTGGCGAACCAGAGCAGCGCACGGAAACGCCGTTTACCTTCCCGCCGGAGTGGTACCTATTTATCTACTTGCACTTGACGTGCTTTTGAACTGCTAGGTTGGCAGGAGCAGGGACCGAGCAACGGGAGCTCACCCTGTCGTGGGGATTCGAAGCACCGACCTTCTGATTGGCAAGTCCTAGGCTCTGTGGTTTAACCCACAGCGCCACCCGTGTCCCTACTGGACCTTTTATTTCCAGTCCAAGAGTCGCATTCCCTTCTGAGCAATCTTTGGGAGGCTGCATGCTAGAGGTGGGTGAGGCCACTGACAAAACTGGCAGAGCAACAGATACAGAGTTTACTGTTCTACAGTAAGCTAGTTTTTCCAACACACTCACCCTTCCTTCTGTATCCTGGGAAGCAAGAGGCATGATCAGAGGTCAGGGAGACATTCCAGCCAGCCAGAAACACCCAAGGAGGATGCAAAGCAGGGCCAGCGAGTGTTGCTACCTAGGGAGAGTTCTGAGGGCCATCTAAAAAGCCTTGGAGGGCCACATTTGACCCTACAGCCTGAGGATCGCCACTTCGCTCTATTCGTCTAAGCAGTGATGTTTTGATGCCAGGAGGAAGTCACTCTCCCTCATGCTCAGTCAGCCTGTTAATGACCTCCCTCGCAGGGATGCTGTGAGAGTGGATAATTACCATACATAGAATCATAGCACCGTACAGTCGGAAGGGACCCCGAGGGTCATCTAGTCCAACCCCCTGCGATTCAGGAATCTCAACTAAATCCAACCTCTGCTTAAAAAACCCCAGTATTCCAGGTCTCATATTCCAAATGGGAGCTGAGTCTTGGAAACAGAGATTTCCTCTCTCTCCTCCCCCCACAAAGCTTTTCCTGATGCCACCAAAGATGTTCTGTTACATTTTGTTATGTTCCTGCTATGTATTGCTTGTAAGCTGCTTTGAGATTTGAGCGGCTCAGAAGTACATTAAATCAAATACAATGAATCAAATAAAGACAGCAAGCACCATTAAAGACAAAGGAGATACACACACACACACAAACAAACATACAGTACACACACACACACACACACACACACACACAACATACAGTACACACACACACACACACACACACACAAACATACAGTACACACACACACACACACACACAACAAACAAACAAACAAACATACAGTACACACACACACACACACACACACACACACAAACACAATATGATAATCTTTATTGTCATTGTCCCATACAGAACAACAAAATTGAAAAAATCTACATAAGACATTCAAAAACCAACAACCCTGCTATCCCAACCTGCTTAGCCCCCTAAAAACTCTGATACCCCATTTTTAAATACAATACACTCCCATAGAGACTCCTTACACTGCATTTAAAACCAAAATCGCATTTGGATAGAAACTGTTTCTCAGGCCACTAGTCCTAGTCTTTATAACCCTTTACCTTCCTCCAGAAGAACCACACACACACACACACACACACACACACACACTCTTCTGGTTTCCACCTCTTGTCACAGCCCCTCAGAAATGATGAACAACATCCAAACACTGTGAAAATTAGCGCAGCCAAGATCATTAAAATCATACAAACGGGTAACACAACAGTAACTACAAACACAGGAATATATCCAAGCAACTCAGAGTTTAAAAACATAAACATAAACACATCATATCATGATGCAATCGTTTTTCATGTTTTTACAGTATTGTAAAATTACTTCTAATATAAGGTTGCCCTTTCTGTCTGGATGTTCACATTTTGAAATATGGTGACCCTATTCCCAAATGATTTCTACGAAATTAAGTCGGTTATAGGGAGTGAAAAGCTCCCTTGATACAACAGCTCCCTTGGCTTCTGGTCTGTTTCTGGGCACGATTCAAAGCGCTGGTTATGACTTCATAGAATCATAGAGTTGAATAGACCACAAGGGCCATCGAGTCCAACCCCCTGCCAAGCAGGAAACACCATCAGAGCACTCCTGACATATGGTTGTCAAGCCTCTGCTTAAAGACCTCCAAAGAAGGAGACTCCACCACACTCCTTGGCAGCAAATTCCACTGTCAAACAGCTCTTACTGTCAGGAAGTTCTTCCTAATGTTTAGGTGGAATCTTCTTTCTTGTAGTTTGGATCCATTGCTCCGTGTCCGCTTCTCTGGAGCAGCAGAAAACAACCTTTCTCCCTCCTCTATATGACATCCTTTTATATATTTGAACATGGCTATCATATCACCCCTTAACCTCCTCTTCTCCAGGCTAAACATGCCCAGCTCCCTTAGCCGTTCCTCATAAGGCATCGTTTCCAGGCCTTTGACCATTTTGGTTGCCCTCCTCTGGACACGTTCCAGTTTGTCAGTGTCCTTCTTGATCTGTGGTGCCCAGAACTGGACACAGTACTCCAGGTGAGCAGAATACAGTGGCACTATTACTTCCCTTGATCTAGATGCTATACTCCTATTGATGCAGCCCAGAATTGCATTGGCTTTTTTAGCTGCCGCGTCACACTGTTGGCTCATGTCAAGTTTGTGGTCAACCAAGACTCCTAGATCCTTTTCACATGTACTGCTCTCAAGCCAGGTGTCCCCCATCTTGTATTTGTGCCTCTCACTTCTAAGCCCTATACAGCTTAGGCCCATCTGGAAGACCTTCGGAGGTGGCGCCTCTCTTAGTCCCACTGCCCTCACAGCCCTGCTTGGTGGGGATGCAGGACAGGGCCTTCTCGGTGGCTGCCTCCAAGCTGCGGAACTCCCTTCCTTGAGAAGCTAGACCAGCTCCCTCCTTGCTTGCTTTCCACTGGCAGGTGAAGACTGTCTTATTCTAGCAGACCTTTGGGAGCTAACTGTTTTTAAAGGAAAGAGCTTTTAACGGCACTGTGCTGTTTATACTGCCTGTATTTAATAAGATTTGGTTTTTTTATTGCTGTAATTTTATGAGAGTTTAATTGCTCTTTCATGATGATCTTTTATATGCTTTTAGCCTTTTCTACTTTGCCTGTGTTGTTTTTAATTTGTGTAAGCTGCCTTGAGTCCTGGTTCTGAGAGAAAGGCAGGGTAATAATAATAATAATAATAATAATAATAATAATAATAACAGTGATAAAAACAACAACAACAACAACAATAATAATAACTGATGAAACTAGGGGAACAATTCTGGCACAGCTCTGCCTTTCAGGCCACATCCTTCCCATCAATTTAAAACACTTTTATACCACTTCAAGAGTCGTGGTGGAATCTTGGGAACTGTAGTTTGAAGGTGCTGGGAATGGTCGCTCTGCAAGCTCAGCAGCCTTAAGAAACTGCAGTTCCCAAGATTCTCCAAGTACTCTATAAGAGTACTTTTAATGTATGGTGCATGTGTATGCTGCCTTGGCCCAGTATACCTGAAGGAGCATCTCCACCCCCATTGTTCAGCCTGGACACTGAGGTCCAGTTCCAGGGCCTTCTGGCGGTTCCTTCACTGCGAGAAGCCAAGTTACAGGGAACCAGGCAGAGGGCCTTCTCGGCAGTGGCACTTGCCCTGTGGAACGGCCTCCCACCAGATGTCAAAGAAATAAACAACTATCAGACTTTTAGAAGACATTTGAAGGCAGCCCTGTTTAGGGAAGCTTTTAATATTTGATGAATCATTGTATTTTAATATTCCACTGGAAGCCGCCCAGAGTGGCTGGGGAAACCTAGCCAAGATGGGCAG